GTGTGGGTGTGGGTGGGTGTGGTGTGGGTGTGGGTGTGGGTGGGTGTGGTGTGGGTGTGGGTGTGGGTGGGTGTGGTGTGGGTGTGGGTGTGGGTGGGTGTGGGTGTGGGTGGGTGTGGTGTGGGTGTAGGTGCTGATCTGCATTACACCCACACCCATACGTACACACTCTAAACAAAAAAGGTATTTTACCGAACTCCCAAAAAAGGTGCCGGAGATGTCGAAAAGCACCCAAATACGTCCAAAGTCTCAAAAAAAGAATAAAAAAATCTACGAAACCTTAAAAGGTTCTTCTCGTGTGCCCAGGAGAAGATCCTTTTTTCTCCGAAACCTTTTTTAAGTTTTGTACAACAAAAAAAGGTTTCGTAGGAAAACACGAAATCTTTAGAGTTTCGTATTAAATCTCATGGTTTCGCACAGGAGTTCCTACCAAAACCATTAGAGTTTAATGCGAAACTCTAAAGGTTTCGTATTTTCCTACGAAATCTTTTTTTGTTGTACGGAACTTAAAAAAGGTTTCGGAGAAAAAAGGATCTTCTCCTGGGCGTACGGGAAGAACCTTTTAAGGTTTCGTAGGTCTTTTTATTCTTTTTTTGAGACTTTGGACGTATTTGGGTGCTTTTCGACATCTTCGGAACCTTTTTTGGGGCTTCGGTAAAATACCTTTTGTTTAGAGTGCACACCCCCACCCACCCGCAGCCATACGTTGTCGAGACCTCTCAAGATATACACCAGAAAAAAAGACTTGATTACATTTCTAATCAATTTCAATTTATAAAGAAGGCTTAATTCATTAAGTATTATTTTTGAAAAGTCAATTTCACTCGATCAAAATGGATTGAACATCAAATAATTAGATTAAAATTGACTTCAAATATTGCCATTTTAATGTATTTTGTTAATTAGAAAACTAAACTACAATCAGAGTTTTTTTCTTCATTTTTTATCAGCACAGAGCGAAATTTTTTGTCCTCTGTGTGACGATCTCTGTAAACCATCATCTGTAGCAATTCTTATAGAAGACCTATAGTTATACGCTCGTTGACAATCTCAAAATGAACTTTTTTCTTCTTCGCTGTTTTTTCTTCTTTCAATTAAATTAATGTCATTCGTACAAACAGTTATAGCCAATACATGAGAACCCATGATTTTTTCCTCGATATTTAATCCGAATAACTCTATACGATAGAGAACAGAAATTTTAATGCAGCCATTCATGCACAAGATTGACTAAAATTCAATGTTACAATATTGACAATGTAACAATGCACGATTATCGTCGCAAACGACAGGAGACACATATTAAATGAATTTTATTGATGTGCAGCTGTATATAGATATATACAAAAATATCTGTCTAGAGAATTATGAACCGTAATGAATATGAGTGATTCAATTGTTAGTATTTTTGATCTACCTGATGAAATATTGCTTACTATTTTCAAGAAACTTAATAATTTTGATACTCTATATTCCCTAGTTGGTGTTAATAGAAAACTTGATAATGTGGCATGTGATATCACCATTACTCGAGCTATTGATCTGATGATAACATCATCAAATGGAGCAAACAATTCGAAAACTAATGCAATATTTGATCGATTTTGGATATACATATTACCTCGAATTCATGGCAATGTGTAATATCTTACTGTTAAAGGATGCTTCTTACAACATGTTCTTTATGCTAGCAATTATCTGACGTTAAACAAGCTCACACTTATCAATCTCGAACTCAATACGGCATCTCATATTTTTAATGGTATGTTGCTTTATCTCTAAATGTTCTAGAAATAGAATAGGAGTCGGTGTGGGTGTGGGTGTTGATATTTATTTATTCATGTGCAGCCATACCCACACCCTAACCAGTACCGATTTCATCTCTGGCCAACACTAGTCAACGATACTGACCTTTTGTGCGGAAATAAATGAAAAGGAACAAGTAGGATGAAAACTGCATGAGTTCCACTCTTTTTTCTGACTACAACGGTCTTTGATAATCTTAGTGTATATTACCATTCTTTCGTCGGCCTATTGACATCAATTTGATTCCACGTGAGCAACAGTCCCAAAAATACATTATCATCATCGAAAAAATGTATGACACATTGAACACATTTATTTCTATCATCCGTGCCATTGATGAGTCATGATCTTCTCTGTTTATTTCATTATAGTGCCAGTGGCTTCAACAACGCTCATTTGTTCAAGAGCACCGTCTACTGTACTTCTCAAACAAGTTTCCCTCATCCTGACAGTGACTTTCAGTCATTTGTTCATAGTATTCATAGTAATAAATATGATCACGATACAGACTCATTGTGTTATTCACCATTTTCTCATGATCCATAGGAATCCCACGATTGGGAACGTTGAAATATAGGAAAAACTACCTTACTTTTAATCCATACTAAACCTTTTCTGTTCTTGCCATGGTTATCACTATCACAATATATGGGTGAGAAGGTATGAATGTTTTGCATTGAAACTGTACACGACCGATCCATATTACTATGGTGACGAAGATAACTACAGATCTATTCTCAAATTTGTATAGATCTTTATACTTTGTTTATGATTCCATGTTTGAATCATTCCGAACACCTATAGCAGAGTCGAAGCCATCTGATGAGACCTTTCAACAAGGTCAGCATCTGGATCATGGCAAATTGGGCTCGCCCTCACCCTCAATATTTACTTCAATACTGGTTTAATATGAACCTTTGAATTTTACTTGAAAGAGAAAAGTAAAGTATGAGTAACTTTAAAAGGTGTATTGTTTATAAGAGAAGTTTTATTGTATTTGTGAACCGATTCGTCGTTGTATTCGACATCGACGAAGTGTCATAATCAGTGCAGCGATCCATCCTGTAATGATCACTAGACCACCATAGAGTTCAATGAGAGTCGTTACGATCGTAATTGCATCGCGATGTTTACTGTACGAATACATGCATGAGGATGGTGCACATTCGGTAAAGTAGTTCTCATATGACATATTTGTGAAGTATTCTTCGATCATGAGCTGTTGTAAAATAAACTCGATGGTCGAGTTGACGTCGAATCGACTTGAAGTTGACGAAGAATTTAGTGCTTTGAAATTACCATATGAATCAATGCATTGTTGATCATAGAAACATTGAAGTGTCGATTGAAGAAGAGCCTCGAGTGGATAACAACCAGCCATCATACCTCTTGATGACTGGGTGCACTTTGATGACACTCCACAACTGCATCCTTGATAGTCGAGTGGTACCGTTTTCAGAGCGACTGTGTCACCTAAAACGTACAACAATACATTAAAGTGTGTCTGTCAACGATGGCATCAATTATAACATGTATAGTACCTTCTTGTAGTGGGAACTTTGAAAGCCAAATCGCAAAAGATGGCACGAAACTTCAGATGAAAGACATTCTCATGTTGATACTGTCGTACTCCATCGCATTTTCTTAATAAAAACTTTTTTTTTTGATTTTTCAAAACTTGATGACTCGAGATAATAAATCAGTATTTGATGGAGAAAAAAATCAGCTTTACCACATGAAACGATGTAAAGATAATGATTTCACAAGGTGAAGAGAGTTTTTCTCACGTTTTATCGAGTTTTCAATGTATAATTTGAATAGTGTTTGCCTTCTTTTCATTAAAAACTCGATAAAACACGAGGAAAACTCTCTCCACCTTGTGAAATCATTATTTTTACATCGTTTTATGTAGTAAAGCTGATTTTTTCCTTCATCAAATATCGGTTTATTATCTCAAGACATCAAGTTTTGAAAATCAGAAAAAAAGATTTTGTTGAGAAAATGTGATCGAGTGCAACAGTATCAAGATGAGAATGTCTTTCAGCTAACGAGGAAACATATTTAGGTGTTTCAGTTGTTTAGAATTTCATGCTTCGACCATAAGCAGAGCTCGATAAGATATGAAAAGTTTCAAAAGGATTCATGTCCTCGCGCTTTTGTTCCCAAGATATCGAATTTTCTCTATATGTATTTTCCAGAATATTAATGCTTTTCATAAATATGGTAGACGGCACAAATATTTAGAAAAATTCATATCCTGTAAAGACTGCGTTCGAAGTTTTGAAATTTTTTTATACATCCTAGTCTATTTGAAGCTCTGATGTGGACCAAAGTTTAGCTCACAAGTCAAAATATGATCTTACTGGAAATCTTAGATTCGACAAGGAAAATTCAGTGAAAACTCGATATCTCGGGTACAAAGGTGCGAGATCATGAATCCTTTTCAGGTTTTTCATATCTCATCGATGTTTACTCATGATCAAAAGATGAGTTCTAAACGGCTGGAACATCTAAATATGTTCTCTCATAAGCTTCTATATCATTTTTTGAGATTTGATTTGCGAAGTTTCTATTACAGAAAGAAAGTCTACATGTTAGAACAGATGTTGTCACAGGCATTAAAAGTCGATGTAAACGTCGTACGATTCTAATAGACTCACCTATAATAGTGGAAATCGCTTCGGAAATATTAAAATCATTGAATTTCCAATTGGTGTCATAGATGGTCATCAACTTGTTGGCTCCTGTTATTTCACGAATAAGTTCGAGGGTACTGAGAAATGTTCTGGCTGTTCTTCGCTGAAATTTACTAATAGTTGTGTTAATCCGTTTGTCTAACAATATTAATGGTGCGAGTCGAGCATCAATATAATTATTTGCGACCAATTGTGACAGACTGTCGTGAACTGCTGTTTGAGAAAGTTCACAAAGCGAAATCAATAATTGAAACTGACCACTAGCTGTTGCTCTAAAATCAGTATAACTAAATCGAGTACGTAGATTATCTTCACCGTAAACATAAACAATCCAATTGTCCGACATGAACTCGCTCGAACACAGCTGATGAAAACGAGGCTCAATGGTGAGAAATGATCCATATTTGATTGCGATTTTCGAACAAGAACATTGAAATGTGTCTGGAAAGTTTTTTGATAGATCTTGGTAAATAGAAAAAGAAGGCGTTGCAATTTGAACAGTTATGAACTGTGATGAGAGAAAGGAGACGAAATAGAATATGGATACTGTGATTACAAGCAGTATGAGATGAAGTCGATGAATCATTTGTTGTTCATCACGACAGATGAAAAGATTTCTAAGAAACTGCAGTTGATTAAGCCGAAAATAACCGTCTATTAATTTCTCAGCAAATCGAATGGCAATTAACATAAAAATTTTCAATCCTGTTGATAATCCACCAAAAATTCCGATAACTGTAGTGATGACAATAAAAATATTATGTCGGCTGCTATACTCGAACGTACACAAGATTGGACCACATGCATTATAATACGAAGTAAAAGATATGTTTCGTAGCCATAAGTCAACCATAAGTCGACTGACGATAGATTCAACCGTTTCAATCGTCTCATTGAGCGATCGACCAGTCATATTGAGTGCCGTAATATTGAGAGCTTCATGACTTTCATCAGTAGGCAGCGTTATATGTGACTTTAGCGCAGACACACAAGTTTGATTATAGAAACATTCTATTGACGATTGGAGTAAAGCGTTGACTGGGTAACAGCCGGTAAAAAAGTTAGACAACGTAAGGGTTTCAATAAAAGTAGAGCTTACAGAATCCCATTCGAATACTGATGCGTGAGTGCGGCATAATCCAGTTAGAGAGCAAGAACAATTGGAATAGTTTAATGATACTGGACTCACCTGATTTGATGTGTAATTTATCTGTATGTCAACATTAAAAAAATCATTCATTAGTTGATTTCCTTGATTTGTCGCTCGAATAAGTTGAATCTCACGTTGATATCTATTGATTGTACTCGATTCCCAGTCTTGCATGAGTATATAGATCTGGGAATGAAAAATTTCTTGTGCAATAACTTGAGAACTGACAAACTGCGTTTGAAGAAATACTCGAAGTGCATCATCAATCGTTTCTTGAACACTTTCACAGAATGTGTTGAGTAGTCGAAATTGAGTACCGAAATTTACTTGGAAATCTAAATTACGTGCAAAATCGATAAATTGATTATATAGTAAGAAGTTAATCCATGTCAAATTGACAAAATCACTAAAACATATTTGATGATAAATAGGTTTGATGGAGATAAATGTCCCATGAGACACAGAGAGAGTACTACACGGACAAACAAGACTATCTCCGTAAGTTTGTGCAAGAGTAGTATATTGAGTTTCAGATGGATTGAGTACAGTTCCATGGTAAATTTCTTGTGTTAATGATGAATATAGAGCCAGAATGACGGATGAACCTATGAGAATAAATATGTAGAGTCGAGTGCCTATGCGTTGACAGCGAATATGACGATCATCAGATGATTGATTATTGAAGAGATTAAGTTCAACCAAGACTCGTTTGAGACGTGATTTCAGTTGATGGAATCGAATAGATACTGAAAATTAGCAAATAATAACAACGTTTCTCAAAAAGTACGCTGGATCAGCAATGTTTCGACGTTTAGTATATGTGAGTTATATTATAGCTTCTGCTATTATCAAAAATTTACAGGAAGATATTCGTAGATCTACAAGATTTTTTTCAGAGTTGATATTTTGATTATAAGTGTAACTGGTCAGGACTAGAGAAATCCCAATAGGGTATGTGCCTCTAGCCTCTTCATTTAAAATTATGATCATTT